ATATATTTAACATATATTCTTTTCTGCCTTTTATTTTATTAACTTTAACTTTTTTTTAACCAATAAAAATGAGAGTCACACAAATATACTGAATTGTGTGCAGGAGGAGAAAGCAGGTGGGGGTTTAGGAAGCAGGTGAGATGCAGACGTCAGGTGAGATGAAGGGGCCGACCAGGAAGACCAGGGTAGGGAGGTGCTGAAGGAAAGTTCTTGGAGTTGAGAATTCCAAGGCAAGGGTAAAACATCTCAAGATTATTAGATGCAACTAAATAAATAGATACTGTAGGCTGTAATTTTTATTATTTTAATGGGCTGCAAAAAGAATTCCTGGATGACTTTAGGAATTTCAGGGTAGCCTGAGAAAGAAGTACTTGCTCAGCAAAGAGCAGACAGTGTGACCCTTTACTTTGAAGGATGTGGAAGCTTAATTTTCACTAGAAATCTGCAGTGTTCATTTTTCCCAAGTGTCTCTTTTATAGGCCACTTGGTTTTCCGGATCTAAGTGGAAGATTGAAATATATACGCTTGAAAGTTGCATTTCATAGACATGATATTTCTTAAATTGTTAACATATGAACCCTATTTTTGTCTTTAATTATTTCACTTGGTAAAAATGTATTTGTATTCTTCAGTGCTTTCCTTGGCATCCTTCAGTTTTAATAGGGAAAGCAGGTACCCCGGAAAAGATTTAGCCAATGAAGAGGTTCTTAAATGTTACAGCACCCTTCCTTCCCTTCTGTTAATTTTAATAGACATTAATTATTGCTGCATGAGGTCCTGTGTGCCTGGCCCTATTCCAAGCACTTTAAATAAATCAGCTCATGTCATCCTCAACCCAGTAAGTAAGCACTATTGTTAGTTACCCCCTTTTACAGATAAACGCCGTATTTATAAAAGGGCCTCTTTCAGTTTTTATAATTAGATTTATGTTGCTCCCAGAGAACCAGTGGAAGCCGCTGGCAAACGGTAGAGTTTTACAATGAACTGGAGTTAGCATTACTTACATGTGCTGTGGAAAATACTTGCGGATAGCCTGTACATTTGAAATTCTCAACGGATGTTCCTTCCCAACTTGGTCAAGAGGTTGGTGGGAAATTGGGTAAGTAACTCAACTTCTTAAAACCTGTTTGCCAGTCTATGAAAAAAAGACAGTTTCTTCTAATTTGCAGAAAATACTGGTACTTCTGAAATGCAAAACCTAAATGAGCCTGGTTTTATACCACAGTGCGGATCTTGCCTCTCTCCTCCCTCACCTGTTGGCTGACTCCCGCAGGAGCAAGCTGGGACCTGCTCTTTTAGAAACAGCATCAGAGAAATGTTTCGGCACAATCTACCTGAGTGATCTCAGCCTGGACCAGCAAGCAGCGGCTGTATTTAGATTTGAGTAAGAACTTCCCCACTGTCACCCTGTTTATCTCGTCGGTTCTGCAGTCATTGCAGTTTGGAGCCTGTTGTGCTGGCGCTGGGGCTGGGGAGGTCAGATCCCTGCTGATGTGCGATTTCATAGCTCTCGGTTGTTAGTGAACAAATTAGTATCACATCCTAATAAAACAGATGACTAGACTCCATGCATAAAAGTATACGATCTAGTTAGGAAATACTGAGTCCACTAAAATGGCATGCACAAAGCCCTTATGGGACGGGAAAGAGGCGGGCAAAGGCAGAGAGAGCAGGTAAAAAGGTGGGTGGGCCCAGGACTGTGTCTGGTGCCAGTGTTGTGATGGTGGCAGTGTGTGGGCTAATGCAGACATGCTCGCCGAGCTCTTCTTTCTCACCTGAGTTGAATTTTTATATAAGCATTAGCAGCAAACTTAAGGAAAACTGCAATGAATTATTTAACCAATGGAAGGATTTTGTAATTAGTTACACCTTAAATTTTCTGTTTGTATTTCCTGTATTGGTTTTCCTTTGAGAAAGGTAACGTGGATGCGAGAAGCCGTTATTTGTTCTAAAACGATTTGCTGAACCCCAACTTTGAACTAAGCCTAGGCCAATTCAGGACTGAGTAACTAATCCATTACAGGACCTACCGCATTCAAGACCTATCAACTTGTGTCATTTCGGATGTGTTTCCTTATCCTAGAACACTGTCAGTGGGATGTACTCAGGACCTGGCGCCCTCCACACTGGGGGGTTTCATCACCTTTAACATTCATGCTAATCGTGTTAACCAAATTGGGTAGTAAGCTGTAAGCCATTCTTTGCTAACTCATTATTTGACTTGAACCTGAGGAGTGACTTCCTACTCAGATCTCCCTTACTAACATTTCTAGCTATGATAAATAAGCAAAATTATATGCAAATTCTTCCACATAGAGTGAATTAAAAATGTATTTTGCCTAAGTGGAGAGTGTGAGAAAGATAGACCCCAGCTCCTCTCGCCAGCCCCTCCCCTCACCTCTGTCCCTTCTGTTATTGGCATATCTGTTGAGAGAACTGGGTATAGAAGGACTAGGAGACCTAGCTTTGAGGTAGCCTTACTTTGCCTAGGGACTGGGGACACCCTTTGACCCGGGATGGAACAACAAATATTAAACATTTGTTAAAGAAATGGAAGCCTGAAGGCAAACTCTAGCCTTCAAAACTTGGGGAATGAAGCTGTGATAAATCCAGGGGAGTGCCACAGAGCCTTCACTGTTGAGAGTGTCCTCGCTTTCACCCTCCTCCTCACCTGCTATGCAGCTTCCCCCAGGTGAGTGGCTTTACTCCACTGTTCTATCTCCTTTCACCTACCCTACACCCGCTAAAACTCCTGAGTGTCATTTCCTGAATACTCCTTGGCTGTCAGGAGACAGAAAGTCCTTGAATGTATTGCTCAGAGGTTTTGTGTTTCTTTCTCTCTCTCTCTCTCTCTCTCTCTCTCTCTCTCTCTCTCTCTCTCTCCCCCCCTTCCCC